CTGTATTTCAGCTCATTCAACAGATTTGGTTCTTTTTGGTTCTGTTTTTGTTTTTGTTTTTTTATGCCGTTGAACTGGTCTTTGGTGCTTTATGGCCTACAGTTTGTCAGCGCTTGTAATGTCGTTGGCTTCCAAGAATCGCACGATGAGCGCTGACCTCCATAGCTCGTTTCGCTCTTCTACAAAAAGCAAACGGCTGAGCGGCCTGGCTTGGCCAATTGACGGGCCCCACAAGCTACACGTTTCACTTTCAGCAACAACAACACGATGAGGAAGAACAACAACAGCAGCAACAACAACAATGCTGTCGACATCTTCATCTTTGGCGCATCCATAAATGGCAGCAATTGTGAATTTGTGGACGGCGCGCAGGTGCAGAAGGCATAGAGAAACACATGTTAACTAGCCGGATTTGGGACTTGGGGCAGGAGCAGGACTGACTGCGGATACAACAGGTCGCGTCCATTTGTTTGTGGCCCCAAATGTCAGGCTATAAATACCGAATTGGTATTGCCATGGCAATTGCAATTGGCCAAAATGCGTTTGGTTTTTTTTTTTTTTTTTTTTTGGTTGCCTTTTTATTTTTCTGTTTTGGCCGCTACACATAATGCAAATATGGACATTTGTGGCTGTTACTGTTACTCTCATTGTGGTTGTTGTTGCTGTTGCTGTTGCAGTTGCTTTTGCCAATTGCATGCATTTCGCAATCGAAATAAAGCTGCACTAAACGCACTTGGTGCGCCTGCTGCAATTGCCAATTGCCGATTGCATTTACATTTTACATATAAATTTACATTTGGTTTGGCGTATTTTGTCTTGGCTCTTGTTTACAAATGGTGTTTTGTTTCTATTTTTAGTATGCTGATTTCTCTACCCTGTAGGTCTTAGAATATATGGGGAAAACTCGGAAAGTTAATATGAGACTTGACTGAGAATGTGACAAATGCTCGATATTATTATGTTGTTTGATCTAAGATTAATCAAAACAAATATTGATGTAGGCGAAAAATGTATTATAATATAATAAGTATTATATTTCAATTATTTTTTAATCAGAAATCTAAGTTGACAAGGAAATAAACTAAATTACAAAATATAATTATAAGAATTTAAATATATGTCAGGCAAATAAAGATTAAGAAATGGACTACAATATAATATTATAAATAAATTTATTTGCTATAAGAATAAAGGAATACTTTAACTAAATAGTGACAATAAAAAATAAATATTTATTCTATTATCTATTATCATTTATTCAAATTCAAAGTCGTCTACTTTCATATACTATACAATATGAAATTTTTTAAAAATTCATCTCATTAAATATCTCATGCCTATAGAGCATTTCATGCGCCCTATTAGTCGACTTTCTTTGAAGCGCATTTATATTTGCATTTAGGCACTTGATGATGTAATTTGGCAATTGTTTTGCTGCCCAGCAAACAAACAATTAACACACAATTTCCAATGGTTTATTAATGACATAGGTAAAACCACAACTACACACTGCTGTGTGGGTGTGTGTGTGCGAGTCGGTGTTTCACTGTACTTTCACCCACAATGCGAACACAATGGGCATCAAGTTTTTTTTTTTTTTTGGAAAATAAAAGTTCAGCCATTTGATATGGCTAACAATGGACACATAAACACAAGAGACAGCCAGTCAGGCTCACCTGCAACGATATACACTTTTGATGTAATAAGTAGTGAAAAGTTTGTATGTATTGAGAAAAATGCTGATATAATAAGTAGATTCTGATACGTTAGCTTTCGAATGTGCCACAAGCGGCGGCATGTGCCACACACACACACACACACACACACAGGTATAATGGATAGAAAGAGAAAGAAGTAATTTCTATTGAACATTTAGCGCAGCTAATCGATTGTATAATGCATTGCAGCTGGGACAATTTCTATATGAGATATGCATAGATGAATCATGGCTGGCACTTGGGCAAGATTTATGAGCACAGTGCAAGGCGTTAATCAATAGAAACGAAACGAATATTATTGGAATGAATGAGGCGTACAATGATGCGGCATAGATCATGTGGCATCAGCTGCGGCTACAGCATCATTTTAAGGCTTAATTGTATATTTATGATCTTATAAATAGCTAATGATTAAAATGCTCAAATGTGATGAATATTTATATTTATTAATAAACAATTTGCTGAAGAATATCTTATACAATTTTTTATATATTTCTTAAACAACTTTTGTTTTTATTATTTTTGAATTTTTCCATATTTTCTTTTAAAAAGTAAGCGCATATTTATCATATATATATTTTCTTGTATACTTGCTCAACCCATTGAAAACACACATTTCACACTTCACATTTGACACTCCCAACTCTTTGGCCCATAAATTTGAAATGTAGCTCACCTCGCTCGCATAATCCTTGCATCAATAGTCTTGTGGCCCCAGGGGTGCGATCATAACACGTGTAGCCCTATAAATAATGACATTGTAAGACCTTAGGCAGCTACCACACATCGCACATCGGTGGCTGCTCGTCTTAGCGCATTTCCCCTGCTCTATGATTATTAATATGCAATCGAATTAATTTATGCATAAAATGTTAAAATTTATATACACGAGGGCTCCAAGACACGCTGAGTACAGATCTGAAGAAATGAGAGCTGAGCAAAGGGGGGCGCTGTTGAGGTAGTCATAGACCATAACTCACTGGGCCGGAGCAGCAGCAGAGGGTGGCTGCGGGGAAGGGACAATGAGATTTAGCCGCAACACGTGAACATTGTATTATATTTATAAATATTAATTATGAGTAACCAAATGAGGTTTTTTGTCTGGGGGGAGAAAGTGCGGCTCATAAGTGGAAACATTTGTGTGGGTGTGTGTGAGAGAGAGAGAGAGAGAGAGAGAGAGAGAGAGAGAGAGAGAGGGAGATCAGAGCTGATCTCGCTGTCAGTCTGTCCGTCCGTCCGTTCGTTCGTGAGTTCGCTCGACCGTCCGTTTGTTCATCTGTCTATTCTTTATGACCTTAGCTAATACTTAAACTATAAGCTCAAAGTATTAACTTGAATAGGCTTATTATATTTGTATAATTGATATACCTTAGACATCATTGCAAATGTGTAAATGGGGTATATTGGTTTCATGCAAGGCGATGCCTTCTCAACTGAGTCAATCCAGTCATATAACTCCGTCCGTTCTTCCACCTAAAGCATTGAAAACATTTATGATCTCATGATCAATAGGTAGGCAGGGTCCGATTATCCTTGCTTCTGTAACATAGAGAACCTAGGGATTAGGAAGATTTCTGTTTTTAGATAACTCTTAGTAGACATTTTCGCTTACACTTACACAATTGGAACTTAATACCGTTCTCTGTCAATATTCGTCAGAGGTGAACTTCACTCTCATATCATCTCGATTGGGTCTATCATATAGATGAATGTATCTGTATGTACCATAGAACTTGCACGGTATCTGCTAGTCGGGCACTCCCCAGTGGAGCAGCTCGCACTTGTGAACTTGTTAACTTCAAAGTTGTCTTTGATAGGCCCATAAAGCTTTAATGTAGAATCCGTCGAGTTTAGTGGTGCGGCCACTTAGGCCACTTTGGCCTCAGCACTGACGGCGCATGTTAAACGCTTTGCCATGAGCATGGTTATATAATGCGACAGCGCTCAATTAGAAATGTTGGCACATGACAAAAATGCACTGAAATACTGGGTAATTGCGCCAGTGAGCGGGTCAAAGCAGTCAACACTCGAGCCTCGGCTGCAAAGCGAACAACAAATAATTACAATTCGGCTCTGGAGCTCTTTATTTTTGTTTCTGCAATAAAAATGACGCGACAACAACAACAGCAACAACAGCAACAAATTGAAAGTGAAGAAATTGTGGCTAACAAGCAACAGAAAACTCAAATAATTGACAATAGCCGAAAAGCAATGAAAAGAAAAGAAATGAAAAGCAAAGCAAAGCAAATAAAAGAAAAGAGCAGAAGAGTAATTTCGGGTGGGAGTTGCAATGGGAGCCAGAGTAAATGCCAAGTCATAAAGCAGCCCACGTTGTCATCGCCTTCAGCTGCAGCTGCAAGGCCTGGCCAAAACCCTTAGCCTGGCTTTTCATACAATTGCCAGCATAAAAGCAAAGTTTCACTTCACTTCATGTGCCAAAGCCTGGCTAAAAGATATAAAAACCCTTAGCCCTCTGCATTTGATTCATAAAACAAAAGTTTCACTTTATATTGTGTGTACATGTATGTATGTGTGTGTGTGTGTTATTTTGGCACTTCAACAAAAAGCCAATTACGTATGATAAGGCCAAACAGCTCGAGAGGGATTTGTGACGATGCGCTTCAGTTGCTGGGCCAGCTGCTTGACTTCTTCGTCAGCTGCTTGGCCCATTGCCCGGAAGCAGGCCAGCTAGTTGGTCAGCGAGTTCTTGGCCAATAGCTTGGCTAGCTTGTTGGCCAGTTTCTTGGTCAGCAACTTAATTGACTTTATAGCCAGCTTCTAGGTCAACTTCAAGATCAACTTCTAGGCCTTCCTTAGCATCAAATACGTTCGCAGCTTAGCCCAGTTTCGTAGTCACAATGTTCTTGGCGAACTTCTCGAACAGGCAGCTTGGAAAACTTCCTCTTAGGCTAGTTCTCATTCCTGATCGAGGAGTAGCTGATGCACCTTCTAGTCTGGTCAGAGACGGCTTGGAAGCCACTCCAGCTGCTGGCTTTTGCTTAGCTTCCACTTAGCCAGTTTCTCGGCCAACTTCTTCTTTATTACCAACTCCCTTAGCTACTCACGGTTGGCCAACATCTTGAGCAGCTTCACTTGTTGCGCTGTTCTTGGCATTGACAGCAGGTTGGCAGCCAAGATTAATGAAGCCTCTTGATTGACCCCTATCGCTCGTTTTTCACTTCGTTCCGAGCTCATTTCGCGCATCATAAACGCAGAGCTCAAGCGAAAAAGAAGATGAAAAACTTATGCAACATTAGCGTAATCGACTTTCCGCTCAAACACTTTACTTTCATTTGGTCTCATTTCTGTTTTTTTTAGCCTGGTCAATTCGCTATTGAGACGCCCCAAGATGAGCTCCTCATACGCACTGGTAAGCCATGCAGCTGCAACTTAAACTATAGCTCCCCACCACGCTCCCTCCTCCATCCAACAGCCTCCTCCAACACAATGCCATAGAAAACTAATTTCCTCGTTTATTTCACGTTTTATTTTGCGATTTGCGCAGCTTTTTGGCGTCGTTGCCGTCGCCTTCGCGGCACTGGTGGCTGCTGAGCCACCGCTGAACAATGCGTATCTGCCGCCGTCCTCCTCGTCTGGTGGCAGACCCTCCTCCAAGTATGGCGCACCACCGGCCAGCTCTTACTTGCCGCCCGCCTCGGGTCCGGCGCCTTCGTTCAATTCGCGGCCAGCGCCGTCCAGCAGCTACTCAGCTCCAGCAGGCGGCTCCTCTGGCGGACCGTATCCGGCGTCCGCGCGCCGTCCGTCCAGTTCGTATGGAGCGCCATCTCGACCAGCGCCACCATCCTCCAGCTATGGAGCACCATCTCGACCAGCGCCACCATCCTCCAGCTATGGAGCACCATCTCGACCAGCACCACCATCCTCCAGCTATGGGGCGCCATCTCGACCAGCGCCAGCACCGTCCTCTAGCTATGGAGCACCACCATCCCGCACATACGGAGCACCTCCAGCAAGAAAGCATCAATCGCAGCATCAGTCACGTCGTCCCTCGTCGAGCTACGGTCCACCCAAGTCATCAGCCCCATCCCAGAGCTATGGTGCTCCCGCACTACCAGCACCACCAGCACCCCCCGCCTCCAAGTATGGCCCACCCAAGTCGCCTTCCAGCAGCTACGGCGCACCAGCACCTCCCTCCTCCAGCTATGGAGCTCCCAGCGTGAGCAGCTTCGTGCCCTTGCCTTCAGCTCCGTCGACCAACTATGGCGCCCCCTCCAAGACTCAGGTTCTCGGTAGCAACGGCTACACATCTGGACCCTCTGCACCTGCACCACCCTCATCTTCGTATGGCGCTCCTTCAAGCTCTAGCTCGTTCCGTCCCATATCGCCACCCTCTTCCAGCTATGGTGCCCCGAGCAGCAGCAGCAGCAGCTCCCACTCTTCGTCCTCATCATTCAGCGCGCCTTCCTCATCGTACTCTGCGCCCAGCCCCAGTGCCAATAGTGGTGGATCCTACCCAGCAGCTCCATCCAAATCATATGGTGCACCCAGCTCTGGTCCATCCAGCTCCTACTCGGCACCCAGCCCGAGCGCAAACGTTGGTGGATCTTATCCGGCAGCTCCTTCCAGCTCGTATGGAGCCCCCAGCTCGGGTCCGTCTAGCTCTTACTCAGCGCCCAGCCCCAGTGCCAACCGTGGTGGTTCATACCCTGCCGCTCCATCAAGCTCATACTCTGCTCCCAGTCCCGGCTCGAACACTGGTGGACCTTATCCGGCAGCTCCGTCCAGCTCATATGGAGCCCCTGCTGCTCCATCTAGCTCCTACTCGGCACCAAGTCCCTCAGCTAACAGCGGAGGCCCCTACCCAGCGGCTCCCTCAAGCTCCTACTCAGCTCCCAGCCCCGGAGCCAACAGTGGAGGACCTTATCCATCAGCTCCTTCCAGCTCTTATGGAGCTCCCAACTCCGGATCGTCGAGTTCCTACTCTGCACCCAGCCCTGGAGCCAATAGCGGAGGCTCCTACCCAGCGGCTCCCTCCAGATCATATGGCGCACCGGCTTCAGCTCCTTCAAGCTCCTACTCTGCTCCCAGTCCAAGTGCCAACAGTGGAGGACCCTATCCTTCAGCTCCTTCCCCTTCATATGGTGCACCGAAACAGGCTCCTTCCAGCTTGTACCTAGCACCCAGCCCGGGATCGAACAGCGGTGGACCTTATCCATCAGCTCCATCCAGCTCATATGGCGCTCCCAGCTCTGGCCCGTCCAACTCCTACTCGGCTCCCAGCCCAAGCGCTAACAGTGGAGGACCGTATCCATCGGCACCGTCCAGCTCATATGGTGCACCCAGCGCTGGACCATCAAGCTCTTACTCTGCACCCAGCCCCAGTGCTAACAGTGGAGGACCATATCCCTCAGCTCCGTCCAGCTCATATGGAGCTCCAGCTTCAGCTCCATCCAGCTCTTACTCGGCTCCTAGCGCTGGCGGAGGCAGCTTCAGCTCGCATGGCGGTTCCTCGTTCTCCTCGTCATCTTCATCTTCCAGCAGCAGTGGAAGCGGCAGCTACTCGACAGGCCCCTCGTCCTCCTATGGCGCACCCGCAGCACCCTCGAGCAGCTATGGAGCCCCCAATGGCGACAGCATTCCCAGTGGACCCTCCCACGACTCGGGCTACTCCTACTCCGCGCCCAGCCAAGTGCCGGATACCATTCAGCAGAGCTACAGCTCCAACGGTGGCTATACCTATCGCAAGTAGTAGCTAGAGTATTGGGTAACGCCTGCATCGATCCAGTGCCTTAGAATACTCGTGCCCCTATCCCTCCCATCATTCACAATTTGGCATCATCAAAAATCATTTGTTGCTCTAGAAAATTAGAACCCAATTGTAAATTATTCGCATCTTAAAAAGAAAAAAAAAAAAAATTCGACCATGTTGTACGAACCCAATATTAGTTATAATATGCTATAGACATAATACTTAATGAATGTCTGAATAAAGAAGAAGAGAAATGTATTTCTAAAAGACGTTTTAATGAACTGAATGCAGCACAAATTGATTTTAATATCGATGTCCGGAAGTAAACATAAAAGACTAGCTGTCAGTCAGGTATATCCATCGAAAATCTTCCATTGAACTAATGAGATTGCAGCTGATGGGCTTTCCATTTCCCATTTCAACTCTCACTATTGATACCATATGGAAAATGCGTACTCTTGAGGGAGATATCACAAATACTTCCGCTCGCTTGTGGACATGACATTCGTGAAATTCTTCCGCTCTGCTAATTGGCCAGCTAACTGCAATGACAAGTGAAGGCTCTAAAAGCCAAACAGCTTTGGCGATTGCTATGCAAATTTCAAGAGAAATACCGGATATTTAGCTGCCAGCAACTGCAGCCGCAGCGACAGCAGCGGCAACAACATACACGACAGCAACATCCACAACAGCAGCAACATCAATTAGAGGGCAATTCTTGTGCGAAGCCAGCTATGAACTTGTGATGAGCGAGCGACCCACAGCCACAGCCTCAGCCCCAGCCTCAGCCCCACTCTCAGTCTCAGCCACAACGGCAGCAATAACAACAGCAATAGAAACAGCTTTGTTGTGGTTTTGTATCTAATTAAGTTTACAAGTTAATTGCACAAGTGCAACAGCATAATGAACACAACTGAAGCCAATGTTTCGCACTAATGAAATACAAATTAGTTGGACGAGGCACAATTTAAAAATAACTGTATACAATCAAAAGTCATATTTTGTATAACATGATTAGGATTCAGTTGAAACATGACTTGTATTTTGATTTAAGAAATAAGCAAATATAATGATGGTACATGAATTGCTCCGGAGCATCTCCTGTAGTCACGCTGGAACTTCAAATACTGCAATATTGGCATGTTGTGAGATCGAGCCAGGGTCGCTGATTAACTTGTATAGATTAGCTTGAGTATTTTCACACTTTAGAAACTTCTCTGACAAGCCGGATATTAATTATGCTGAAGTCAAGCCTCGGCTCCAAAAGTAATTAACTATAAAGGCCAAGCAAGCGCCAGCAAAATATTTGTATTTGTTAACCTTGACCTTGCGACCGCCTGCCTTAGGGCGAATTAACAAATTTGCTTCTAACTGCTAAATGGAAAAACCATTTGCTACAAAATATTGACATGCAGCACTTTATTAATATTATACTGCGACTGTGCTGGTATCCGAACCCGCGTACTTCACCGCACTCCCCCGCTGAGTTTATCGTGCATCGCATCTTTGGCCTGCGCTACGTCAGTTCCGCCATTATCCATGTCAAACTAGCTCTAAAGTCTTTGCGTATGCATTCTAGGCTACAATTTATAGCTAATAGCTTATTCCATTGCAATTATTGCAAAATAATCTGTTCCTAGTTTTGCGCTGCAGTCGGTCTTCCGTTAGGCTTTACTATAGCTATCAGCTCAACTTTATAATCAGATTTGCTGAGAATTGATATTGAATGAAACTCAACTTTTATTTCGATTATGCATATTTTGTAATTAATTTAAATAAATTTAAATAATATTTATAACAGTGTACATTGCTTTTGCGCATTGAGTTTATTTTCGAAAATATACAAATACCAAATAAAATAAAAAAATTTATCTCTATCCCCTCACTCTCCCTCTCGCCGCCCATTTGAATTTATATTTTGGCGAACTCACCTTCCCTTTTTTTTGTGATTGCTATATATAGAAAGGTCGGCCAAGGCATCGAAGCTCGCTGCTACTTTATTTTACTTACTTACACACACACGCATACAATCATCTCTCATCTATAACTAATTTACTTTCCTTTTTTGTCTTTTGTGCATAATTTCTTTCCTTCCCTGCTTCTCCACTCGCATGTGGCCAAGCTTTTTTGTCACCATAGCTGATCTGTCTAAAAATAGGCACACTACAATGTAAATATTAAGAGTAAAGTAATGTAAAACGCGAACGCGTGCTGAAATCGAACCCGAGTCTTCCTTCCTCCCTGCCTCCCTTTCGCTTACACCGCAGACATCTTCCCTCTGCGGCACGCCAACTTCAGCAACTCCTTTGCCAAATGCATACTTAAGCAGCAGCACCTGAATTAGCAAGCATTTAAAAGAATTTTAGATCAACTGTTAACTAAAATATTTCATCAAATTCTCTTCTTGAATAACTATTTAACAAACTATATGCACAATTGTTTGCTGTGTAATTCTTCTTCTGTGCAAATTAGTGAACAAATCTACTTCTAAAGAGCCAAACATAATTCACATAGACACATGGGCTCCGGCAACTGGTCTCCATTACCAGGCTATTGTCGCAGCAGCTGATCTGCCTGATGAGATCTGTGATCTTCTGCTGCAAGCTCCAAATGCTGTGTAATTTCGTTGGCTGTGGATCATTGTTAGCGGCCAGCAGCAGCAGCAGCAGCAGCAGCAGAGGCAGCGGCAGCGGCAATTGCCATTTGCTCTTTAACTTGAAGCAGCTGCCCTTCGCCCCTCGCTTCCCCGTTCCCGCATTCCCATACCCCATACCCCTCTCCATTTCCCGGCTCCATCCACCAGCTCCGCACTTACACGAAGACTGCATTTTTGATGATGGGAAATTTCCGCTTACGATAATACGATTCCATTGTTTTAAATTGTCATTAGGCAGCTCTTTGTCTGTTTGTTGTTATTACACAAGCTGTACTTTATATGGGCTAAATAAATAAATAAATACAGTTAGTGTCTGCTCTTTTCTTTGGCTTTTTTTTTCGAAATAGAATAAATAATTACACGAGATTTGCAACAACAGGGAAACCATTTTAATATATATATGTATATAAACTATGAATATATATAAATACTCGTATATATTTGGTTTTTTATTAAATAATAATTTTTTATTTATCATTTCTCGCTTTGCTATGCTTTAAACATTGATATGTATTTTCGATTTTCGATTTAATTACTCTTTTATATATAATATATATGTTTGTATATCATAAACTCATCTCAATATATATATATGTATGTATAATTAATTAACATAGTTTGTAATATGCCACTAATAAGTATATATATATATTTATATGTATGTACGTAATTATACATCAATTGATTAGACAACAATAGGTGAACGTAAGTAAAGCCCCAAAACTAATCAACTGCCTATGAAGTACCCTTAGTTCGTCTTCCAACTTTCATCTTTCATCATAAAATAGTTGGTGGTTTTTTTTTTAAATATTTTTTTTTGTTTTCTTATATACAGACAGTTACAGTGAGTGAGTGAGAGAGTGAAAACTTGAAACTCAAACATCTCTTCTCAGGTTTCGCAGTATCGCATTTTCGCATTTTCGCAGTTTCCATTAACGATTTGCTAAAGGTTTATTCCAACACAACTTACGTAATATCAACTGTGAACATTAACTGTTATTTAGCAAAAGGAAACACTCAGAGATAATGATCAAAATAGTCAAATAACAATCAACAATTTCTTTAACAACAGCAAGAACAAATATATATATATATCATACACCATATATCATTTATCATATGTAGTTCATTTTAGTTATTTATAGGTCAGTTATGGACTTTTTTAGGCTTATGTAAAAGTTTCAATCAAAAAGCAGTCAACATTTAAGGTATTTAGTATTTATCGGGTTACATATACATATATACATATATATATATTTAAAATTTGTCATAATCAATGGGATAGAAATTTCAACAATGAAACAGGAAAAAAACAAGTCAGTTTTGGATATATATAACCCCAACATCTTTCGAAACATGCTAATTGAACTCGGTTTCTTGGTTGCTTTTTGATTAAATTCTGAGAGCATTACTGTGGCATCAGAATATATTTATAATTTTTTCATGACTCGAGGACATTCCAATTTAATGTTGAAATTTTAATGAAATTTAAGAAAAAATTACAAAAGTTGTTCTTCACTTTGTTTCATTTTCTTCAAATATATACATATATATGTATAATGTATATTTATATTGGGTTTATGCATGTATATGTTTATAACTGTGTTCATATATATGTATGGTTTCTATAAGTACATCTCTAATAGCATTTTTGTGTTCGCTCTTTGAGAGCAGCTTAAAATTCATCTTTATTTATTTTGTTTTTTCATTGCCTATATTCTTATATATAGTCAAGTATTCTTCAGTTGATATGCTTTACGTTTAGTCATTCTGCTAGTTAGTTGCTCTTTGCTTGTGGAAGGACACATGATTCATGATTCTCATAATATGCACCTAAACGATATTTCATATTTCGTAGGATCGTTGAATTAATTGCCAATTAATTTACATAAACAAATGAACATGACTAGGAATATATATGTATACATATATGTATATTTGTGGGTATATATATAGGTGTATTTACTCTATATGTACTTCGTTTGCAGTTCCTCGCATCTTTTAACTCTATTGCATAATACGTATTGAATGCATTTCGTTTGCATAGGTGAAATGCATTTGATATGTTTACAGTTACTTTCAGTTTTTCTTGTTTGACATTGATATGTATTTGTTTTTTTTTTATCGATCAATATTTATCGATCGCTTATAGCATTTTTTTATAAATTCCATTTACTCTACTCAAAATCAGCTTAAGACACAAACATAACAGAAACTATATAAAATAGTTGAAGGATCGATATGTTTCTAGTTACTTTATCGATCGATCATATATATAAACTCAACTAACTCTGCCTAAAACACAGTCCAAAAAAACTTAATAAAAATAGTTCACGCATTGATAGGTTTCTTAGTGTTCATCGATATTTATCGATTGTTCAATTCAGCTTAAGACACGAACTGAATCGAAAATAGTTTAGAATCAAGTTGATATGTTTTGGTATTGTTTAGTTTCTATCGATCTATCGACTTTTATCGATATTCTAAGACA